TACCGCCTACCCTATTCGATACGTCCTATTTCCCTCCCGGCCTTAGAGGCGCTTAATTAGCCCGTGTCTAGTCTAGAACTTAACCGTCCGAGGCAGCTATCGGAACGGTCGAGTTCGGCTATGCCTAATAGTCTAAATTAGACTATAACTAAATTCCCCTAGCTAGCTATTACGCGTAGATACGGATATATAATTCTTCCTAAAACGGCGAGTAAAAGGCAACTTTTAACCTAGGCTAGTTAAGTATAGGCAGTGATCTAACGTCCTCTATATACATTTTATAGCCGTTATCGTATAGTTCGATTTTAGCGACGTAAGTGCCTTTAAAAAAAGGTAAAATATAAGTTATTACTACTCTACGATAGACGAAAGAGCTTAATTTAGAAATAGTATATTAGACACTTACGCTTCTAGCCGCGGTCTATAGGGACTTACTAACTATCCGTTCCTATAGTAGCCTTCTAGAGAGCTAGTAAACGTAAGTCCTACTCTTTTCTTAGGGTCCCTTCTAGACTTATATTAGTATTTAACCGGCTATATTAGCGATCTACGCGTTAAGGACCGGACGACGCCGCGGCGCGAGGGGCGCCGCGGTAGCGTCGGCAAGTTCTTTACGCCCCCGACCCTATATAGTAGCGGCCGGGCATGTCTATAATGCTTCTTTATTTAGTAAGACCCGAATACGTAGGCCGTAGCGATAGACTATAGCGCCGACCAAGGCTAAAATGCACGTCGCTACGGCTCTATAATAGGACGACGGAGCTTAAACTAATAGGAGAATATTAGACAATCGCGGCTTCGGGCCGTCGTCTACTTAGGCTACTAATAATCCGTTCCTAAGGTAGCTTCCTAAAGAACTAGACGTAAGGCCTATTATTATTCTCTCGGGCGGTCGCACCTATAGGACCTTACGCGGGGCCTAGCCGTGTATATACGCTAGAAGGAAACCGTCTTACGGTAATAGCGGGCATTGTCTCCTATAAAGTCGAGGTTCTAAAGCCCCTTATTGTGTTTTATTGTTTAGATGCTGCCTGTCGCTCTATATACTTATAGTGTTACTCTATTCGGAAACAGCTGCCTAATTTCACCGCCTATCTTCCCTAATACCTCTAGCGCGCTCTAGAGCATCGCCTTCCTCGTCTCGCTATTTACTTCGTATATTTTCTCTTTATCTGCTTGTTTAAGATTGATTTCGGTCGTTAATATTCGCGTCGCTCGAGTTATTAGTCTCTTCGCCGTCTTTGCTATTGCATTTCTAGCGAACGGAGCGTATCTTAGACCCTTCCTCTCAGTATTACTCTACGCGTCTAACGCGTCGGTAGTGATAGGCTATCCGCCCCTACCCGTCTTACGCTACGTAGGGCTCCGCTATCTAACGTGCCTAAAAAGGCGAGATAGCTCGGGGGCGGTACCGGCACGACCTTGCTTATCGCTATTTGCCGAGAGGCCGGAGCCTAGCGTGCTATTAAGTAGATTAACGGCATAAGTATCTAGGGCCTCGATTAGCCCTATCTCCCCTATACCTATAAGGTAAAAGCACGCGTAAATATAAAGACGGGAAGAATCGAGGAAGGAAAAGAGGGGGGGACGCTTTATCGCTTATATAAATCTATTCGTCGAGGAAAATCTAGCATTAATCTTTAAGCTCGCGAGGCAGTTATTGCCCCCTACGGTACGGATAGGGAGCGGCCTAGGCAGGGCTGCTAGCTATCGCCGACCGGTGTATCCCCGAGTCGTTTATCGTATAAAAAAGGAGGCCGGCGACGAGCTCTAAGTAGTTAGCTACTTCGACGATAGCTATAGAAGCGGGAGCTAAGGCTCCGCACCGTGCGCTTTTATAGTATATAATATTTAGTAACACTATATAGTGCTATATATATATACCGGCGCACGAGGCTCGGCCCGCTCTTAACCCGGTCCTAACTACTACCTCGCTACCCTCTCTACGTCCTGATTTTTATAACCTCGTCGACGATGCTAGGCTAGTATTCTCTCCGGCCCTATTTTCTAGTATATCGTAAACAGCGGGCGCATAAAGGTGCAAAGTCTACGGGAATAGGACCTAGCTAAAAGGATAAAAGGATAACGGGACGGGCCTCGGCTCCTATAAGTCTCTCTCCCGGCCCGTCCGTCGCCTATTACCTAATACTAGCCTATCTTATCGCGCTATTTACTTCGTACGAGCCCGTGCTCTTCCTTATAGCTAGTAAACGCCCGAGCCCTACGCCTTCGCTTGCCTCGTATACGTCCCTCTTTATAGCCCTTATCGCGGCCTCTACCGCTACGCGTAAACGGCGACTACGCTGCTTGCTCACCGCCTTAGCGTGCACCTACGTGCATTCGTATATAATAACGTATAAGCCCCCCGCTGCCGTGCCCCGGCTAAGACCCTAGCCTATCGCGATATACCTTGCTCGGTCTACGTTATTTTTACTTTTCTTTTTAATACGTCCCTAGAGATAGACTTAGCTATTGCAATAGCAGACTGCGGCGGAAGAGGCGGACGCGGCCGGGGCGGAGACCGGGGCGGCTACTCTAACCGGGGCGGCCGCGGAGGGTATCGCGGCCGCGGCGACGGCGGTGACCGCGGCAGTCGCGGAGGCGGCTTCCGCGGCGGTCGCGGGGGCCGGCCGCGCGACACGACGACTAAACTAGCGTATAAGTATATATCCTGCCCCTGTCTCTAATGCTCGACACCGGGCCCGCTAATAAGGCCCGCAGCGTTAATAGACCCTTCCCGGCGCCCGACCCTACCGTAACGGCCCTCGAGGACCGCCTTATTAAGACGTAGGCGTCGTCGGCCGCCGGCCTCGCTGCGTAGATAGCTAAGGCCAACATCTAGGCGCCCCCCCTCTAGGCCCGGTCTACCGACGTGTTTCCGCTACGGCCGGCCTTTAGTATAAACGGCTAGCCCGTAACGCTATAGTCTAACTACTTTAACGTTAATTTTAAGCCCGTGGTGCTATATAAGTACACCTTTAAGTTTATCTAGGTCGGCTCCGAGACGTCGTCGGGCGAGCCGTCTAAGTTAGCTAAGGCCTCGAGCCGCGAGGTTAAGGGCCGCAAGCTCTACTTTACCGTGCGCGAGCTACTCGCCACCCTTAAGGCCGCCGATAAGACGCTGGTGCTCGCTACCGAGTATAAGAGCTAGCTTATCTCGCTCTAGAAGCTTAAGCTAGCCGAGAACCCGCTACGGTTCCGGCTCGCCGTCGAGACTAGCGGCGATAAGTAGGACGTTATCGAGGCCACTATCCACGGCCTAACCAAGGCGCCCCTCGACGCCCTGCTTAAATACGTCGGCTCTATAAGCGAGGACCCCGTCGATGGCCTCTTCCCTAAGTATCCGGACGTCGTCGACGCCCTTAACGTCGTCCTCGGCCACGGCCCGCGCTCTAAGCTATATGATATCTCGGCTGTTGGCAGCGCCCGCTTCTTCCCCTTTAGTAGAGACGAGGCCGCTACCGACCTATTCTAGGACTAGCACTAGCTTATCGCCGCCCGCGGCTTCTTCTAGTCGGCCCGCCTCGGCACCGGCCGCCTACTGCTTAACGCAAACGTTAACCACAGCGTCTTCCGCGCCGCCGGCCGCCTCGCCTACCTCTTTAACCGCTTCTAAATCCGCCCGACGTAGGCCTTTAATAACCAGGCTATACGAAAGATTAAGGCCTTCGCTAAGTTTATGCCTAAGACGCGCGTTTAGGCCGAAATCACGCTATCGACGGGCGAGGCGGTGCGCCGTATAAAGCCTATCCACGCTATCGTAAGCTAGTCGGAGCTATCCCGCTAGAAGCCCGCCGACGGCAAGCCGCTTAAGTTTACGCCTAACTACGAGTATCCGGGGCCTAAGTAGGTATAGTTCTTCCTTAACGACGGTAAGGGCGGCGGCTAGTATATTTCCGTGTTTAACTACTTTAAGATAAGTAAGTTTTAATGCTATTTCTTCGTCTTCTTCTTCTTAGACTATATCGGCGACTAACCCCGTGGCTATAGAGTATAAGAAAACGCTTAAGGACTACCCGCTAGTTAACCTAGGCCGCTCCGATAAGCCGACGCTCTTCCTTACTAAGGTTATCGAGATCTAGCCGGGCTAGTCGGTTAAGGCGCGCCTTACTATAAACGAGACAACGGCTATGCTAGACGTAGTATGCTGCTCGCCCTACTCTAACGCGACGTCTATTAGCGCTAATGGCCGTAAGACGCTCGGGCTCGACGACGACGGCCTTAGGCCCTTTAGTATCACGGTCGATAAGAGCCTTCTTATAGTCCGCGGCCGGGTACTTAACGTGCCTATAATTAGCTACCTTAATAATTAGTAGAAGCGGTCCGATATATTACCCTTTAACGGTAGCTAGAATATACGTAACGTGCGCGTGGTTAAATCCGGGGCTATAATTAAGCGCTAGACCTTTCTTAACGTTATAAAGCGTAGCGATAGCCCTATTATTAAGGTATCGGCTATAAAGGACTTTACTAAGTTCCTAGGCAGCAATATAGGCATCCGTATTAAGGACTCGCCCTAGGTGCCGGGCGACGGTAAGATATTTACGAGCTAGGAGCGGGCTATAGGCGACGGGCTCGAAAACTTCTTTACGTAGGCTAAGAATAACCGGATCTAGTACGTCTTCTTCGTCCTTATAGAAAAGGATAGCTAGGGCCTATACTTAAAGATTAAGAGCCTCGGCGACTATACCTTTAGTATCTATACGAGCGTCGTTACGTCTAAGCACCTACTTAAGCCTAATAACTTTATATACTACGCTAACGTCGGCCTTAAGGTTAACCTTAAGGCCGGCGGCGTCAACCACCGGCTACGCGAGGACGTAGGCCTGCTTAAGGAGGGCAAGACTATAGTGGCCGGGTACGACGTAACGCACCCGACTAATATAACGACGGCGCGCGAGGCGCGCGAGGCGCCTAGCCTAGTCGGGCTCGTAGCTAGTATCGATAAGGACCTGGCCTAGTAGCCGGCCTGCTCGTGGGAGCAGCCGTCTAAGCAGGAGATGCTAAGCGCGCACCTTATCGACGCCTTTAAGTCGCGCCTCGAGCTATGGCAGAAGTACAACCAGGGGACCCTGCCCGACAATATCGTTATCTTCCGCGACGGCGTGTCGGAGGGCTAGTTCTCGCAGGTGCTCGAGCTAGAGCTGCCGTCGATCCGCTAGGCCTGCCGCGCTAAGTATCCGGCCAAGGCGTCGCCGCCGCGCCTAACTATTGTCGTCTCGGTTAAGCGCTACTAGACGCGCTTCTTCCCGACTAGCAGCGACGTTATATCCGACTCGGGCAACATCCGCAACGGCACCGTCGTCGACCGCGGCGTCACCTAGGCCCGCTACTAGGACTTCTTCCTAACGGCCCACCACGCCCTTAAGGGCACCGCCCGCCCGGCCTACTATACCGTTATCCTCGACGAGATCTTTCGCTAAAAGTATAAGGCCACGGCCGCTAACGAGCTCGAGAGCCTCACCTACGAGCTATGCTACCTATACGGCCGCGCTATAAAGGCCGTCAGCATCTGCCCGCCCGCCTACTACGCCGACATTGTATGCGAGCGCGCCCGCGCTTACCGGCCCGAGATCTTCGAGGCGAGCGACACCGATAGCGTCTCTACCGCTGGCAAGGCCGCGCCCGCCGCGAGCCGCCAGGTCCACGAGACGCTAAAGGACACTATATACTATATCTAGCCCGGGAGCGGTTTAGATTCCGAGGGTCTGCTACTGCTGCTAGATATTTAGGGGGCTAGTAGACGTGGTCGATTTAGATGCCGGAGTAATTAGTTATCGGATAGACTGCTCGGCCGAGGTATAGATATATAATAATAGCGCAATATAGCCTAATATTAGGTCTAGCAACCCTACCTTAGCATTCTTAAACTATATAAAGCTATAAATAAGATATCTATGTTTTTAGGTACCTAATCTATCGAAGCCTATACTATTTACTATTCTATAGTAGCTTAGTAGAAGGGCTATAGGAACTCGTGCGTTATCTTTAAGACCTGCTAGTCGTTATATATAAGGATGTCGTTTGCTAGTTCTACGTAATAAGTCCCTATATATAGAAATAGGCACCCCCCTATTTTAGGCACCTAAGATAGGTGCCTAACCTAAACGGCTATATTAACTTTAATAGTAAATTTTAGCGCGGAATCGTATCTAATCTACTAAAAAATTAACGTATATATTTTTAAGCTACTACCGATAAAATATATAGAGTCTAACATTTATAGCACCCTTAAGGCAATCGCTAATAGCGGATCCGCTAAGAAGGTCTATTACGTATAAGATTATCGAAGCGCCGATACTTAAGTATAGTAAATACCGACACCGTAATTACCCTAGTAGAAGGTGCACTGATGTCTCCTTCGAGTATGCCCGCCCCTAGTCCGACCCCTGCTAAAAAGAAGTATCGTGGTCCTAGCAAAAAGCCTAAGTATAGACCACTAGAATACGAGCCTCGCTTTCGCGTAATACGTAAACGAATTCGATAGTAAGTATCTTAACCTCTAACCCTCGCGAGTGTCTAGAATGCGTGGAAATTATACTATGCTTTCTAGCTCTAGACGATTAAGCAAGTTCCCTACGTAAAAGGAGACTTAAAGCTAGAGAAAATATAGCAGCGTATTAAGTTTTGCGACGACTTAGAGAAAAAGGGCAGTAGTATAGTAATTCGAGCAAAAGTCTAACTAAACTTTAAGCTCGTGCTATTAGCTTACGAATACCGAAAGGCTAAAAAAGAGAAGAAAGACGGTAAGAGGTCGGATAACGTAAAAGAGATATTTATTATAGAGCTTTTCCCCGATTAGGATCCGAAAGTTAGACGCTCGACCTAGGATTACTACTAGCAGATAGGAGAACCAGTCCTTTATCTTATTAAGCGCTATAGCTAGGGAGCTTTAGTATTTCCTATACTAAACGTAACTAAAAAGAGGTGATTTCGTATATCTCCGTTACTCCTATGTATATTAGCTTATTTGTTTCTAGCTTATAACTGCTTGCCCGTAGTAAAATCGGTAACTTCGTTAACTATGTCGGAGTTTGTTTTCCCGATTTAATAGGAATAATGTAAAATTTGTTGTATATTCTACTAAGGCTAATTAGATAGGGTTTGCTACTAGGCGGCCTAAGAACTAATAATGTTCCTTTCGAGAAACGAACCGAAGTTAATAAGCATGCTTTTAATTAGCTTTTTCCGCTGCCTGCGAGTCTAAAGCAAGCAATAATAAGGTTATATAGTCCTAATATAGAAATTCTACTATAGCCTAAACTAGAGGCCGAGATTTTCGTACGGAGCTAATCTAAGGACTGCCTTATAAGTTAGGAACCTAACTAGGTAATAGCGTTAGCTTACGGGAGTGAACTATATAAGGATATCCCTTTGCCTTTTCTAGTTAATAACTAGAACTATAACGAGTTTAATACTTAGTAACTATAGCAATATTTTGCCGAGCCTCTAGGATCCACGGGTATTACCCCTACGGATCTTATGCTTAATAACGAAGACTCTATCGTAGGGAATTTCGCTAGCTGCTTCCTACTAACGACTGTTAATAATCGATTAGAAGATCTAATAGCTAATAGCGCCGGAATTTTGCAAGGCTATTTCGAGCGAGATAGCTAGCAGGGGGGTCATATTGCATTTCTACTAATTACCGCCGGACTTTGCTCCGAAGCATTTAGTAAGACTCGATAAAACGCAATAAAGTGCGATAAGTTTCTATATACTTCGTAAATATTGCTTAAATAGCGCAGGCCGGCTTTAGGGATTACTAAGTAACGGTGTTACGTATAAGGATATATTAGGGGTCTTTAGAACGTCGTTAGTAAGCAGTAGCATCGAACCTTCTAGATAATAACGTTATCTAGGCGGCCTAGGTAGCGATATAACATCGCTACCCTAAGGCAGCTATAGGTAATAGAACTATAAGAAGTCGCTTTTATTAGAGAGAAGGAAGAATAAGGGCAGAGCAGTTAATAACTAAAAAACTCTATGCACCTTTTCGTACTCGTAACGCGATAAACGGGCTAAGCCCGTTAGGGTCTCGGCTCCGCTCTCGATAAGACCTACCGGAGGAGCTCCGTTATACCCGTTGGCTAAAGCTAGGCGCCCCGCCTAGCTTCAGCCAACAGGTAATTATAGCAGTTCCTCGGTAGAATCGAGCCTCTTTTCCTCTTTTTAATACTCGCTTTCGGACTTAGGTAAGGGCGTTCGAACTATACGAACACGGCAGAGACCTATATATGCCGTGCCGGGAGGCTGGGCGGGCTTGCTAAGCTAGGCAAAGATCGCCCTAAGTTAGGGGAAAGAAGCAAGACCTCCCTCTAGATGGTCCCTGCTAGCTTGAGACACTGTTTGATTGCGAATGCATAAGAATATTAAGATCGCCCGTATATCGTTACCCGAAAAAAACAGTAAAACAGGTAACGTACTTTACTACCTAGTTGGCCACTACCCCGCCTAAATCCTTGCCGCTCTATATTCTGACCGTCGCAAAACACACTATAGATCGATAATCGGCAAAATAATTACATGAATAGAATTCTTAGTCCCCGGGCAAGATCGAGGATTATAACCGGGCAATATAAAGCTATTGCGGAGCCGCTGTGCGCCGGTTTCCCCGTCGCGCCGGATCTTACCCCTGACCCCTCGCCGCCCCTCGCCTTCCTCTCTACCTAGAGGGTTCCCGAGAAAGCCACTACGCTAACCTAAGAATAGTAGACCTACCACCCCGTTAGGGTGATCCTAACCGGTTAGACATAATGCTCCGACCTTGCTAGGGCTCCCGTAGGCTGGTGTGGCGGGCGGAGCCCTTCGTATGCTAACTCATCTTTAGTTCTAGGCAAATCTCGCCTCTAACCTTAAACTTTTAAAACTTTTATTCCTTAAGGCTCTTTACGCAACCCTATATAGGTTGCCTCTCCTATGGGTAAGAAGCAGCTCCTTGTTAACGGATGACGCTATCGCATCCGGCAATTAGTTATATTCTTATCGCCTCCTGGTCGAGACACGGCTGTTTTTCTCGACTCTTCTCGAGATAGACGCCCTCTCTGTCGTCGCTGCTCTTCCTAAGATGGACGACGTCGACTTCGACTCGGGCGATGAGCTCTTTAACGGCATCGACAGCTAGGACCTGCTCCCGTTGCAAAAGCGTAAGCGCCACGACTAAGATAAGCATAATAACGCTGCCTCTACCGCTATAAAACGCTATAGACGCGATGCGTCGCACGCTGCTTTTGCCTGTCGGATCCTGACTAATAAGTTCGGCTACCATAGCTTCAATCACTAGCAGGAGGCTGCCATCGGCCGCGTCCTGGCTGGCGAAAACACGCTCGTTATTTTCCCTACGGGCGCTGGCAAGTCCCTTTGCTATTAGGTAACGAGTCGTTCACGCTCCCACCTTATCGTCGCTGACGTTACTCCGAGTCCTAACCAAATCCCCCGCAAGATTCCAGCCATTGCCTTCGAGGAGCTCGACACGACTGACGCCTCTAGAGCTCCTGGCCAGTCCGGAATTAGCATTGTCGTGTTACTATTAATAGCTCTTATAAAGGATTAAGTCGATGCCTTGCAGAGCCGCGGCATTCCTGTGGCGTCTATGAACTCTATAAAGACTTATGAGCAGCAGTAGCTCACCCGCGTCGCCTTATAAAAGGGACAAATTCGCCTTCTGTATTGCGCCCCCGAGAGACTTAATAACGAGACCTTTATCGAGAATATGAAAATTGTCCCCGGAGGCGTTCGACTCGTCGCTGTCGACGAGGCCTACTGCATCTCTAAAGTTTGACTCCTCTATCTAGATCCGTGTAGCTCGATTTAGCTAACTTTCCCATACGATAGTAGGGCTATTTATTCCGCCCTGAATATCTTAAAGGTGTGAAAGTCCTTTGTTTAGCCCTTCCGTCTTAAAGCTAACTAGTGCCCTTTAGTCGCTCGGTTCGCTTAAGAGATTAACGCCGAGCGAGTCGTCTGCCTGACTGCCACCGCCACCCCTAAGGTTACCACCCTCTTTAGGGTCGCTTGAATCATTATCTATTATTTTACTACCTTAAGTCTATTCCTATATATATAAATTCCTATTTATTTTATAACCTAGTATAGTTCTTTATTGCCTAAATATTAATACTTCGCTTATATAAGTAAACGACAACCCTTTTTAATATATCTTTTCTATTTAAACTCCTCTACGACCTCCTTAATAAACTTAACTGCAATAGTAAGTAGTTAATTAAGGCCGATAAGCGCTAGAGGCACGACTCGCGCGTCGTTCTTGCTTAGTTTAATATATATAACGGAATTATACTACGTCGAGGACCCGGTGCTATTGCATTCTTATCTTATCTCTTTCCCTACTATAGACTAGATTAAGTATTCGGTCTAAGGGAGAAGTAGCTTAAGCCTATTATATAACGTATATAAGGTCTTGGATTATCTCGGATAGAAGAGCTATAAATATAGAAGACCACCGACGGCCTAGACTTTATATCCTATATCGAATACGTAATATCGGCCACTAACTACGAGTCCCGTATTAGGTCGGGGATTACTTTAGAGGAGCTTAATAAGGTGTTAGACTAAGTTTCGGCTTCGTTGCCTTTCTTATTATTAAGCCTTCGTAAAGGGGTTCGAGATAAGCACGATCTATTACTTCGAGTAGCGTACCTCCTTTCGATATTCTTTAGGCAAC